TTCGACTTGAGGACACGGACATTTGCTGCTGCTCCTGCTGCTTATCTTTCCTTTCCACTCCCTGGGAGAAAGTGGAAACCTGTAGACGCTAACAGAAGACCTGCTCGAACCAACCGGTGTCCTGTCAATTATCTGGTTATTTGTTTATTTATTTTTATACTGGAGAAAGCAACGGGACGAAATGAGGGAACTGGAAGACCTCGAACTTGCAGTCAAGGTGAGCACTTCCTCATTCCCTTAATCGGTTCGTTAGTACCAGATTTTTATCGACTTCTCTGCTGCTACTACACTATTGTAATGTATACAGTATCCTTTTTTGAATCTGAATCGAGGAACACGGGGTAATGGCCTGACGAGGCTATAATTTTCTCATGAGGAGAAAACCACTGGATATCTTACTCATTAAAGCAACAGGCGAGGGACATGGTATTTATTCTGCTCGTGGCTTTGTTGACAGTGACCAGCAATAATTTTTAAGGATGCCATGTCGTGGTGTTTCGTTGCCATTTGTTATTGTTATGCATCGCAAATTCGCGTATATTTGGTTGCGAAGTGGATCGAAAATTCCTTTCTCAATGCCTTCGTTCCGCACGATTCCGAGTATCATGAATCAAATTGCTATGAAAGATATGAATATTTTCTTTACTTCATGCAGGGAATTCAGAACTTCCTATAGGTTCTTACTAGAACCCTCCTCGTGTGTCAGAAATATCGGTTGCATCAACATTTTGCATATTATGATCATCATTTCCCAGGCGTAAATGCTCCGAAAAAAATTTCAGATGCATTTTTCAACCTACAGAGTGAGCATTCGAATTTCAGGGATAATGAATTTGTTGAGGCTCAGATGCCTCTTTAATGAGTGTGAGCGAACATTCACTCACTTAGGTTTGCTAACGTCGATGGCTTTTGAATGTTGGATGCGAAATTTATTGCGGATGTGGACTCGGCGGTTCTTCAGCAGACTGCACAATTTTCTCTTTTTTGTTTTTTAAATTTGCAGGTGCTGATCGTCGGAAATGGCGCAGTCGGGAAATCGAGCATGATTCAGCGATACTGCAGAGGCACTTTCACGAAGGACTATAAAAAGACGATTGGCGTGGATTTCCTGGAACGGTGCATCGAGTGAGTGAACTCTTGTCGAAATCTCGGAAAATCGGTCATCTTCTTTGCGAAGTTTTTCCAGACTTGAGCAACATTGCGTCTAGTCTTCTGAATTGTTATTTCAGAAAAGAAATTGCTCACTCCGAACAGATCTCAGAATATTGGTGTCGACATTGTCGACTCCGAAGAAAAAGTTTCTGCTAACAAATGTGTGCACATTTTCACCTGTTTTCTTTGCCATACTGTACTCTCATTTTATAGAGGCAGCTTATTTGCAAATCCTTTGATCTGTAATTGATTGACTTCTCTGTTACAACTCGTCTTGTGTCGAACTTGAAAATGTGAAGAATTTTTTTTTATTCGCCATCAGCTGGCTCAGACGAATACGTTTTCCGCTGTAGGAAAATCGAATAATTTTTTTTGATGAAGTTGAGATGGTTTTGAACGAAGTACTCAAACAGGGCTTCGCAGTAGCACTTCCAAGGGCTTCTGTATTCGGCTCTGATAATGCTGGCGAACTATCGATATTGCAACGCGTTGCATCAAGTGTTGCATCACCAGTCTCTTTCTAGGTCTCGTTCGATTTCCCTCGGTTTTGCAGGCTTTTTTCTGTCTCTTTCAGATTAAAATCAAAACGTTAAAAACCCAGAATCCAAGAACTGTAGTGGACGATATGAAGCGAGGAAGTATACAGAGAAGAACAGTAGAAGGGATTTTTACTTTTAGGTCAGCCGGGAATATCAGCGATAGGCAAAATGTCTTCTCAAAATAATTTTTATTTTCTTCTTTACTTTAAACTCTGTTGATATTGGATTTCGATCTGCTGAGTAGGTTGGAATTTCCCACCTGGTTTAACTTTTCGGCATTTTATCCCGAAGCTCAACGGGACTTGGTCTCCGAGTCGTTCTGCATCTACTATTGACTAAGTGATAACGTTTGCAAATATGTGTGACTTGGCTTTAGGCAGAATAACAGGAAGCAAAACTTGAATAGATAAAAGAAGTGCCGTACCGTTTCTTCCAGAATGTTAACAGTCGAAGGAGCTTTACAAATATTTGTATTCTTTCTTCTACGCCCGGTACAATTCATAAGACGTGAAGGTTCTTTGATACTTCTTAGTAAATAAAGCCCGCTTGAGACATTGAAAACTTTTAGGACGATGAGTTAAGGTAAAAGGCTTTTTGTGGCCTTCAAATGGCAAAGTTGAACCGTATAGGCTTTTGAAATTAGTTAATTCAGCCAATCTGTTCTGTCCTTCCAAGCTTCATCTAAAGAATTTTTTATATATTTTATGAAGGTTCTCTTCTATTTTTATTCGCTCAAGAAGTCAGTATAGGCAATTTTTCCAGGCATAATTCGAAGACTTTTCTGAGGTATTTTCTTTTGCCTCACCCAGTGGAACGGGGACAATCGGATAATAACCAACGTGTGAATGAGCTGTAATATGCTGTTTGATCATCAGTATCTAAGGATGAAGATAATCTCATTATT